GTATATGGTAATTGCTCAAATCTTTAGACTTTAGAGACTAGAGTGGGCTGGGGAGGGCGGTGGGCTGTTGGAAACTTGGAATTAAAATTATTTTAAGTGGGCAGGGCGATGGGCTGGGGCACACGGGAAGTGGACTGGACTGGGGCAATATAAGAAAATATTTTTAAAAAAATCGGTATTTCGGTATACCAAAATTTCAAATTTCTAATACCGAGGACCGTACCGAAATACCGAAATACCGAATTAGACCGAATTAGACCGAAATACCGAAAAAACCAAAACCGAAATACCGAATTAATTTGATTCGGTTCGGAATTAAGTTTTTCGGATTTTATGCCCACCCCTAACGGGTGGCTGGTTATTATGTATCTCTAGTCTAGGGTTATAGGGTTTTGGTGGTGTGTCTCTAGATGGAGAAGAAAAGTTTGATTGGTTTTCTCTCCTATAAAATCTAATGGGGTTATGGGCTTTGGGTTAGTGAAAGGTAAGGGAGGTTAGGCTTCAAATTTGAGCTTTAACATTGGGCTAAAAATAAATGTCCAAATCTTATTTAAGTTCCTTTTAATATAAGATAAATATACTACACAATGCAAAATTAATCTAATTAATTAAACTAAGTTATATATAAAATATGAAACTATTTTTTTGGTATTTTCAAAGATTATATTAAAATAAAATAGGTTCAAAGTAATATATCCTTCTAAAATACCTAATGCGTGAATTAAATAGAGAAATATGGATCTATTTTTTTTGTCATTTTCAATTTTTGTTCTTAAAATAAAGTAAAAGAGTCAAAACTAATTAAAATAACGGTACTAGACCTAAACTAAACATTTAAATACTAAAATATGTAAAATTTTGGGGAGGGTCAAAAATTACATGTCTACACTAATTATCCAAAAATTAAAATTAGAGACCAAAGTTAGTCGCTAAATTTAAATCAGATTTATTTATATTTTATATAATATTTAAAATATTAATATAATTGTTAAACGTTAGAACTGGGTCCCAGATTAGCGACCAAAGTTGGTCTCTTTCTGCTTCCCCTTTCGTAAGCGACCAACTTTGGTCGCTAACTTTGAATTATATTTATTTATATTTTATAATTTTTTTTAAATAATAATATAATTATTAAAATTTTATAACTGGGTCCCAGATTAGCGACCAAAGTTGGTCTCTATCTGCTTCCCCTTTCGTGAGCGATCAACTTTGGTCGCTAATTTTAAATTATATTTATTTATATTTTATAATTTTTTAAATAATAATATAATTATTAAAATTTTATAAGTGGGTCCCACTTTAGCGACCAAAGTTGGTCGCTAATTTTAGTATTTCTTTGACCAAGCAAGTCTGACCAGTCCGGTCAATATTTTGACCAAATTATCGATCAAAAAGCGACCAACCTTGATCGCTAATGTATTTAGAATAATTATTTAATTATTTTTTCCAATTTAGCGACCAACTTTGATCGCTTTTTTTGACAGACCAATTTTGGTTACCAAATTTTGGTCGTTTTTTTTACGAATTTCTAGTAGTGCATTCACATATATTCTAAATTAAAGTAATGAGTTATCGGGTGATTCTTGCTTCTGAAGAGTTAGCAGGCTATGAACTTTCATGAATTTTAAAGTTGGTACCTTAGTATTAGGAGTATATTACTTAGAAGATGATTTAACTATTTGAAATTATGTACTAAACGCATTTTGCTTTCATTTGAAGTATGAAAGTCACTGAACTATGACTATTACATAAAAATAGTCATTCAACTAAAATTATCAAACTTTTTGGTGAAAAAATATGACATGTCAGTAGGAGTATGTGTTCGGGCAGATCGGATTGCGTGTGAAAATTTCGGTTTGGATTTTGATTTTCGGATTGAAGAAATAACAATCCAAATCCAATTCAAATAAGTTTGGATTGGATCTGACTTTTTAAGTTCGGTTTCGATTAATCGATTTGGATATTTTGAATTTTCGGTTTTGAGCTTATAAGTTGAGATGTTTCTTATTTTTACAAAAATGAATATCCAAATGAATTACTCATGTTAAATTACCTGAAAAGTTCCTCATTCTCGCTGCAATCATCCAAATGAAGTATTCAAATAATGAAATTATTATTAAAAAAATACAATAGAGACATTAATACGGCCCATAAGAAGTAGAAATAGTAAAACCATGTCCAAATAGAAAGTGTATTCTCACAATAACTTAGTAATTAATATTAGATATATGAGATAATATCTAATATGTGGAGTATTGAACTTATTACTATTGACATATGGATAATGGACTAAATATAAAGTATAAGAATTTTAAATTTTCGAATATCCAAAAATTTGAAGTACCAAATCCAATATCCAATCCGTAATCCAAAAATTCAAAAAAATTCGGATTTCAATTTGAATTTCGGGTTTGCCCAAACTATGCACACCCCTACGTGTTAGTCCACATGGATATTTTATATTTTTGTACCAAATAAAATAGTTGACACCCAAATAAAACCTAGAAAATCCACTCATACACCCAAAAACCATGTGGACTGCCACATCACATTTTTTTGTCGAAAAGTTTGATAATTTCGGTTGAGTGACTATTTATGTGCGGGGGCATACCCACATGATGTCAAGCGGGTTCAGTTGAACCCGCTTTGCTAAGAACTACACTGTATATATTAATAAATTATATTTGAAACAACAAAAATATGTATAGAAATAAAAATTTGAACCCACTTGAAACCAAATACGTTGTTTGTTGAGGTGGTAAAGAGGGTTTAAAATGTAAGGGAGGTGTGTTTGAATTCCACTTGGGTGGCGCTTGTAAATTTTGTTTTGTAATATCTAGCGGGCCATCGTTATATGCGTAGTCCCGTATGAATTTATTATTCTTACTTTTATCTTCTTCTTTTTATTCACTTTATTTTTTATTGAAATCAATAAAAATTATTCTACAGTTTTACCTACTTCAAAAATTGACCTATTTACAAAGTGAATTTTGGTTGTTTCTTTCTTAATTTTGATAAAACATGAAAGTACATTTGTTTAAATTATTTAAGAACAAAAAAAAGTGTTCAAACTCTACTTGTTTTACCCGACACTACTTATATAAATAGCCACTCATTTTTTATTGAACCCGCTTGTATAAAATACTGTGTTTGCTACTGTTTATGTGCAAAAATTATAGTACAATGACTTTTCTGTTACAAACAAAAATAAAGTGACTTTAGTCCATAATTTGAATAGTTGAATGATATTATGACTAATGGACTCTTTGTATTAGTTGCTGCTGCTAGAATTTGGTTTTCAAGCATCTAACAAAGTACCAAGCTGATGAATAAATAGTGATTTACAATTTGAAATACTTAGAATGTGATGTAGCATGTTTAATATATACTTCCAAAAGCTTTTACTTGTTATCAGTTGCAATTACTGCTCAGGGGCGGATTTAGGGGCAGCAAGGGTTCACCCGAACACTCTTCACCAAAAAATTACAATGTATATATAACACAAAATTTATTTTTTATTTTTATATATTATGTTTTGAATCCTCTTGTCAAAACTCAAAAGCATAGCTTAGTGGTCAATAAATTATAAAATTTTTGTGAGATCATAGGTTCAATTCCCACTAGCTACAATCTCATTTAATTTTTTAACTTTTTTCTTTTTTGACCTTTCTTAGCGGAAATTCTGACTTCACCCTTGCTGCTACTCTCCTTATCTTTTATGCAAGTGACTAGGCTAACAATATTTTAAGTCTCTACTCTCTACGACAGTGCCATTTGGAGTTAAGAAAATTTATAGTGATCGGTTCACAGTCACAGGTTGGAATACCGAATACCCAAATTATATGATGTAGGGTGTTCAAATTTCATGATTTTTCGTGTTGTTATTACTTTTTTTTAGGTGTTATTATTACTTATTGTTTTCTTTCTCTACTAAGTGATTTTAGACGGCAACTTTTGAGACCTCCACCATAATTCCATGGAGCCATATATATATTCGTGTAACAAAAAACTTGAGATAAAATATAAAAGGGTCATTATATACATGACATGACAATTTTTTATGCTGCAAAAAGGGAAAAAAAGGATGAAAGGATCAAGCTGTCACCCGTTCACCAATTAATTATTTAAATAATCAGTGTTGGTTTAATATATGTATATAAATATTATTAGTACAAAGTTAGAGTAATGATGAAAAAGAAGTTACTTGGTAACAAAAGTTTTATTTATCAAAACTAGATTACTAGTAGTAGGTAAATGCTGAAGTTTGGTGATTGATCACCCGCAAAAACCCTAGATCGAGGGAGAAGAGAAGGAGAGAAAGAAGAAGGGAAGGCGAAGAAATATCTGAGAGAGAGGAAAAAAGGATGAAAGGATCAAGTTGTCACCTATTCACCAATTAATTATTTAAATAACCAGTGTTGGTTTAATAAATGTATATAAATATTATTAGTACAAAGTTAGAGTAATGATGAAAAAGAAGTTACTTGGTAATAGAAGTTTTATTTATCAAAATTAGATTACTAGTAGTAGGTAAATGCTGAAGTTTGGTAATTGATCACCCGTAAAAACCCTAGATCGGGGGAGAAGAGAAGGAGAGAAAGAAGAAGGGAAGGAGAAGAAATATCTGAGAGAGAGAGGAAAATGAATGTAACAGTGAAAATTTGTTATTCAACTCACTATGTAGCTAACCTCTATAACAAACAAACTATCTCATTAACTCCCGAACTGACTTATCATACATAAATAAGCTAAACCACTTCTCATAATCAGGTTACTCCTTTCTTCTCAACACTCCCCCTCAAGCTAGGTGGTATAAAGATATCAAGTACCCCTAGCTTGGACAACAAATACTCATGTTGAACTCTGGTTAGGCCCTTGGTTAGGATATCTGCTAGATGTTCCTTAGTTGCTACATATTCAGTCCTCACTAGCCCATTATGTATCTTCTCTCTTATAAAGTGACAGTCAATTTTAATGTGTTTAGTGTGTTCATGGAATACTGGATTAGCAGCTATTTGAATTGTTGTTTTGCTGTCTGTGAGTATGTTCACAGAGAGTTCAACAGCTACTCTAATATCCTTGAATAATCCAAGTATCCAAACTAACTCTGCTACCGTTAATGCAATGCTCCTATACTCTGATTCTGCTGAGTTCCAAGAGATAGTGCTTTATTTCTTTGACTTCCAAGACACTAATGATTCACCATACTTGACAAAAAAATCTAGTTACTGATTTCCTTGTGAGAGGACAGGCAGCCCAGTCAGCATCACAGTATGTTGTAATAGTGTTCATCTTCCTGCTAGACAACAGTATGCCTTGTCCAGGATGCCCTTTTACATACCTGACCACTCTTTGTGCAGCTTCCATATGAGACCTCTTTGGCTTCTGCATAAACTGACTCAATGTCTGAACACTATATGCTATATCTGGTCGTGTGATTGTCAAGTAGAGTAGTTTTTTTAGTAACCTCTGGTACTTGCTAGGATCTGTTAGGATTTCATCTGTTGTGCCTTCAAGAACACCAATATTTTCATCATATTTCTTATTAGTGAGCTTAACATTAGCTTCAATAGGTGTAGCTGCAGGCTTTGCAACTCCCAGTCCAAGCTCAGAGATGAGCTCTAGTGTGTATTTCCTTTGATGCATACCTTGATGGGACCTGGCAAACTCAATGCCAAGAAAATATTTCAACTCACCTAAGTCTTTCATTTTGAAAGTCTGTTGTAGTTGAGCTTTGACTTCATTTATAAGTGTCAGATCAGGTCCAGTTAGAAGCATATCATCTACATAGACCAAGATGATGACAGTGTATTTGCCTGTTCCTTTTAAAAATAGAGAGTGATCATGTTGACTCTGCATGAAGCCTAAGTGCACCAATGCTTCAGACAACTTAGCATTCCATTGTCTTAGTGCCTGTTTGAGGCCATACATGGATTTCAAGAGTCTACATGTTGGTCTACTCTCCCCTGACTCTGAAATCCTTGAGGCAGAGTCATATATATATCTCATCATGCAAATCATCCTGTAAAAAGGCATTGTACACATTCATCTGGTGAATGTGCCAATGCTCAGAGGCAGCTACTGCAATAACAGATCTAACTGTAACTATTTTAACCACTGTACTAAATGTTTCCTGATAATCAATGCCATCTTGCTGACTGTACCCCTTGGCCAAAAGCCTGACCTTGAACCTTTCTACCTCACCTAAGGCCTTGTACTTTACCTTGTATATCTATTTGCATCCAATAGGAATTTTACCATCAGGCAAGGAGACCACATCCCAGGTGTGGTTAGATTCTAAAGCAGCAATCTCAGCCTGCATAGCATCCACCCACCTAGGATCTTTAGCAGCTTCTTCAAAGGAGGTAGGTTCCACTATAGTGGAAAAAGCAGCTAGATAGGCCTGACATGTAGGAGAGAGGCCATTATGTGACACATAGTTGGAAATAGAGTAAGGCACAGACTTGTGTCCTGGAAAAAACACAAAGTCTTTCATCCAAATAGGAGCTTGTCTAGTTCTTAATGATCTCCTTAGACCAGGAAAGCTAAGTTCTTGAGAAGGCATGTCTGTTGGAACCACTCTTGCTGGTGATTGGTGTTGTATAGATAAGTCCTGTTCTAAGCTGCTAGCAGCATGGTCAGAATCACTAGAAGAAGGAGGTGAGGTGAACTCAGTATCAACAATAGAAGGTGTAGGGGGCAAGAATACATGTGGTATAGAGGCAGGAGATTCCTTGAAAGGGAAAACATCTTCCCTGAATGAAACATCTTTGTTAATAAGAAAGCAATGAGTATCCAAATCTAACAATATGTAACCTTTTTGAGAATCAAAAAATCCCATAAGGACAGTAGGTTTAGCCCTAGGAAGAAGTTTGTCTGTCTCCTGAATCTGTTTGGCATAACACAGACAGCCAAGCACTCTCAAATGGTCCAAACTGGGTGCTCTGCCATATAACAACTCAAAGGGAGACAATCCATTGAGTAAAGAAAATGACATCCTATTAATAATATAGACTGTTGCAAGAACACAATGACCTCCGTACTTAATAGGAATATTGGCCTGAAATCTTAAGGCTTTAGTCACCTCGAGAATATGCATGTGTTTCCTCTCAGCAACTCCATTCTGCTGAGGGGTGTAAGCACATGTCTTTTGATGAATAATACCATATTTCTAGAACAAGGTGGTGCACACAGAGTTAACAAATTCAGATCCATTATCATATCTGATTGCCTTCAAGGTTTTGTTAAACTGAGTTTGAACTAACTGATCACAGCCTACTCCACACTACTAAAAAGTAGGAAGAGAGGGTCGCAATAGCTTTTACCCGATTTGTGGGTCGGGGTCGATTTCCACAGGGATCTAGGAATGGAGTCGAGTATCTATTTAGACTGGGATTGTGTAATTGTTCCAAATATCACTTCCAACCATTTTTGGGGTTTTCTTTAATAATCTACTATTATCAACTACTAATTATAATTGCAACTAGATTATGCTAAGCGACAATTTCTACAAGTGTATCTAATGGATAAAAACGCACTAGGGTAGTGGTATCCTCCTAGGAGGCCAATTGATGGGTAATTGAACCTAAGGCACGATTGACATGATTGGGGAATATGCTATAACCGTTGCACAATTTTACCCACTCTCACACCTCTCGGCAGAGAGAGTTATTTTGCCCAATTGACTTTCTCAAGACCAATAGGGTAGGCAAATTTTCTCAAGCTACTGGAGTTCAAGTCGAGTATTACTCTCTCGAGGTTTAACCCTTTAATTGGGACTATCAATTCTATTGAGTCCATCCCAATTCCTTGTTGGGTCCATTTTGGAGACTTAGGCTCTCTTTCTCAAGAAGAACCCAAGTCAACTTAGCACAAACTAGTGTTTGCAACCACTAATTCATAGATTAAACCATGAAATTGACCCAAATAACAAGCACTCATAGTTAATCTAACCTTAAATCATAACACCCATCAATTACCCATACTAGGGTAGAGCCACAACCCTAGCTAATGGGTTTAGCTACTCATGCTTGAAGAGAAAAACAGAGAAATAGATGAAGATAAAGACATATTAATTAATTGCTAAGGTAATTACAAAGATTCAGTGATAAAAACTAAGTAAAAACGCCCAAAATAGCTAAGAAAAGTCTTCTCTCGAGCGCAGCTAAGGTCTGATAATATCTCATACCCTAAAAATGAAAAAAGGTTCTATTAATACTAAACTGAAAAAACTGGACAAAAATTCCCCTACGGATTCAGTGTGGACCGCACAAAATGGTGTGCGGCCGCACTAGGCTCTTGACTCTGCAATTTCAACTCTCTGAACCCAGGCTCCGCGGACCACGCAGAATGGACCGCGGCCGTGGAGGCTTCCAATGCGGTCCGCACAGAATGGACTGCGGACCGCACAGGCTTGAACCCTGGCACTTGACATCTCTCTAAACATTGCTTCTGTGGACCGCATGAAATGGTGGTGCGACCGCGGTGTCTCCAGTGCGGACCGCACAATATCTACTGCAGTCGCACTGCTTTGTTGCCTTCAAATCCAAGTCTCTAAATCTCCCTAGTGCGGACCGCACAAAGTGTATTGCGGCCCGCACTAGGCCTGTTTGTCCTGAGTTTGTCTTGTCTTTGGTACTTGTGCAGGTTTCACTACTTTTGAGCCGATCTTTGACATCTTGTCACTTTGTTGATCAACCCTGAAATCAAGCACAACTTATGAGCCTTTTGGAACTATTTTGTATGAATTTATAATCAAAGTGTAAGCAAGAAGGAGCATGAAGTGTGGCAAAATCCCTAGTTATCAACTCCCCCAAACTTATACTTTTGCTTGTCCTCAAGCAAACAAAATAGCACCCACCCCTAAAGGGAAAATCCAAGAATTTTCAGCAGTCCTAAAATAACCTCAACTAGCATCAGTTGGGACTAACATTTGCCCTCAATATAGATGAATCATTAACAATATTTAACTTTTGAAAAACCATGGATCAAGTGCGACACGAGAGCATCAAGATTTGACTCAACACATCAAAGAACTCTCTCAATTACTTTGGTTATTGTGGAACCCCAAACTCACACACCCTCAACTCTCCCTAAGCAAACCTCACCTTTTTTAATATTGGCACACAAACCGAGGTTAATGGAAATCCACTCATCTCTCTCAAGAAAAAGTCACAAGTTCGGCTCTAAGTACCATATGCTTGCCCCTCATGTGAGTATCCACTAATGTAAGCATCATTCAACTCAAGATCATATAGGACTTTTGTGGAGTCATTGTGAAGGCTTTTGGTTCAGGGCAGGGAATGTTTTGATCTCTAAGTGGGTTCCATCTTCCAGTAAGCACTTCTTTTGATTCATTCGGCATACATTCTCTTGACTCTTTGAGTCATCTCCCCTCTTTCTAAGGGGTTAGAGATACACGTTATCACTCTTTCTTATGCAATTCAAACCGTTCTCCTTTTTCAACTTTCTACACCTTTCATTCTTTTGCTTTTCTTGAATCTCTTTTTATTCTTTTTCACATAGAGCATTCTTTTTGTCTTTTGCTTTTCTTTCTTTTTCATTGCCTTTCCTTTTCTTCATTTTTGTGCCTTTTACCACTTTGTTGCCACCCTCGTCTCTCCCCCCAAACTTATACTTTTGACATGTACTCAAGGAAAGATCGGGTGCCAAGAGAGGGTATCTTTTAGAACTGGTATAGGCTTGTCTCATGGTTCTTGAAAGAAAAAGGTCTAAGGCTCAAAAAGGGTTAACTAGGGATCATATCATTGGTAGGCTATGGAATTTTTTAAGCTATTATTTGGATCAAGGAGAGCCTATAATCACGTCTCAAGTCGAAATTTACTTAGAATTTCGCCTCAATAAGCATTCAGGGCAAGTTCTAGACCAATGGCTCGGGACTTGGATTTGCAATTCAATTACTCACCACACAAGCTAAAGGATCGCTAAAGACATAGAGTCGGGGTCCCACAACGACCTTAGATACGATTTGAGCACACATTGGTCCCGAAAAACCACTTGATGATTATCGGTCAACACAAGAGTCTCAAGGTCACAACTTTCACCATCCTAAATACAACATTTTGTCTTTGACCATGGGATCAAAGGCAAATGTGCTAGGCCTAAGTGAAGCTTTACTTGAGGTATCCTTAACTATAAACTACAAAAAATAAAAACAAAAACGGACTCAAACCCTTAAAAAGGTTGTCACGCCATCCATCATTGGGAAGAGCTATCCGGTTCACACAACACTCCACCTTTGGAAAGAACCGTGGAATTAAGAAAACCAAAGGCTTATTGAAAATGTCCAAAACAAAACAAAAGCTACGAACATAAATAAGAAGATAAAAACGAGAAATTTTTGCGGAAAATAGAATGAATATATACAATAAGGAGTTTGAATATACAACGGGGGATGAATATATACAATGTGATGTAACTTTATATACAGACCCAAGGAAAGATAGAAAAAATGCAATAAAAGTAACTAAATATATAATTATATACAGACCAAATAAAAAATCAAGAAAGCATAAAGATATCAATATATACAGTCATCCATAAATGTGTAGGGCTCACCCCATCAAATAAAAGCTAGCATTTTCCCCAATGCCAACTAGTCTAAATAAGCACCAAAAACAATAGAAAAAAAAGGATATAGAAGACTCCCTAAGTCGTGTCTGTCTGCATATGCTCATGGGTGGTCCCTGGGTCCTCTGTGTGCTCGAGAACCTCAGACTGGTTCCCGGTAGTTTGCTCTGCTGCTACTGGGACCTGGGCCTGGACCTCGACAGGCTGTGGAACTGGTACATCCTGTGGCTGACTGGAGAAAGCCTCTGGTGGGTCCGCCAACTGGATGATGGCATCATTTGCTCTAGGGATCTTCCTCCTCTTCGGAGGCCTCTGGTCTACTCTGGCTATGGATGAGCTGC